ACTTATAAAATTTAAGTACGTCAATTAATTTGATCAATAAGTCTGCAATTGTAAACGACATGTCGGCCGACTGTTATCAATCAGTAACATCCCGTAGATAGTAACCATCTTTGTAAAGAAATCAGATTAAAACTGTTTTCAAAAAGACATAATTCTGGTTAGAGCGGTATGACAATCTGAAAACAACTATAAAATAAATTTTGCTTTAGAATTCCAATCCATTAGGCCATACAAATTTAATTAATTGTTTCTCATAACCCGGCCGGGTCAAATCTCGAAGAAAAATTTTATATATATTTAAATGGTCGGTGGGTTTCAAAAGAATTTTTTTATATAAAATTTAAAAAAAAAAACGCCATTTTTAAAATCCTATGTTATGAGAAACAAACAATTAATTTCGCATGGCCTTGAGTGTTTATCCTGATAATTATCAGATATCCGTGCATTAGAATGTGTGCCAGGTTTATGGCGCAGCACAAATTCTTTAAAATTCATTCATGTTAGAGTTAGGATTAGTGTAATGTGCTAGAGAATGGTAGTTTGTATAGTAAATTACACCAACGAAAAGTTTTTGTTAGACCACCCAAAAGTGGTTTCTTATATAGAAATTCAAAACGAACATTTGTATTGAATTTTCTTGGCACTCCTTGAATGTGTGCTAGTTTTGTGGCGCAGAATTACTGAACTACAAATCAGATTTAAAGATCAGGTGCAACGTAACACAGCCAAGAAAATTCAAAACAAACGTTCGCTTTATCAAAAATCGTTAATTTATCGAAATTCTACATAAGAAACCACTTGGTGCTCTAATAAAAAGTTTTCGTTGGGCATTTTTACTATACAAACTACCTTCTTCTAACCCGTAACCCTAATCCTAACTCTAACATAAATGAACATTAAATAATTTTGCTGCACCACAAACCTAGCACACATTCAAGTAATGCGTTTTCTTGGTCGTGTTACGTTGCACCTGATCTTAAAATCTGATTCGTAGTTCAGTAAATCTGCGCCACAAAACTGGTACACATATCAAGGGGTGCGCATAAATTTACCATATTTAAATGTCTAAGCAAAATTCTGCATGTTTCACCGCATATTAAAATTTGATGGTTGCAAGACTAAATAAATGCTTTCATACAACGCATTACTATCTTGAGCCAACTCTTTTTTTTTTTTTTAAAAAAAAAACAATAGTGATGGGTTCTTCAACCTCCAAGTTGAAATATCCTCACTTAGTAGCGTCAAAATTTCCAATTACCAATGATGGCGAAACTATTACTTTGAGTGATGGTAGAATAATGGGATTTAAAGAATACAAATTTTTCCATACCCTTACCGACAATACCATATCTCTACGTAATCAAGAATTTGTGATTCTTTCTATACCTGGAATACCAGGCTCAAGATTTTTCACGCATCCTTCATTATTATCAAAAGAAAACGATGAAAATATTAACACTAGCGAAAATAATGAAAATAAAGCGTTGATAAGATTAATCGTATTAGAAAGACCAGGATTTGGACTTTCAACATCTGCCAAAAGAAATTTTATTGATTTTTCTAATGATATAAAAGAACTTTGTCAACAAAAAAATATTAAAAAATTTTCTTTAATGGCTTATTCTGCAGGTGGTCCTTTTGGTTTAGCTGCTGCTTATTCTCTAGGTAAACAAAATGATAGTTTAAATGGTCCTATAATTAGTAAACTCGCAATTATTAGTTCAGTTGCACCATATAATGCGACAAATGCGACAAATAAAATGGATTGGAAACTTAAATTTGCTTGGTAATTATTTTTTTCATTAATATATATACATTTGCTTTAATGCAATGTCATTTATACTTTATAATAATCATTCCATTCATATTTTACCTAAGGTGGTTAGCTAAAAATAGTCCAAGTTTATTGTCAATTATAGCACGTCTTGAAGCAAAATCTGCATTAAGTGATCCAGTAAAGGCAGCTTCTGAAATTCTTTTACTTGGTCCACCAGATGATAAGGAAGTGTATGAAAAATTTCCAGAAATTGAGGAATTATTTATTAAAAGTAGTTTGGAAATGTATACTAGAGGTCAAGTTGAAACAGCATGTTGGGAATATAGTTTATGGGGAAAGGATTGGGGATTTAATTTGAACGAAATTGGGAAAGGAAAAGATGGGAATATAGGTGTTAGATGTAAAGTTTGGCATGGTGAAGAAGATTATGGATGCACTATTGATATGGGTAAATATATTGCTGATCAAATTAAAGGATGTGAAACTTGTTTTGATAAAAAGTTGGGACATATGGTATATTTTACCGCTTGGGATGATATTATCGACTGGTGTATTATGAGTTAATAATTTCTAATTATTTACTGTAGTTATTTAACGATGTTTGTGTACTTCAAAGTATTACTATTACCATAAATATTAATTTATTTAGTTATGTGATCCTAAGCATCGAAATCTTCTGATTATATTTATACGTATAAAACAATCTTTTTGATTCTAAGTTAGTCGATTTGCTTGTTAAAACGAATTTAGAACGCTTTTAAAAAATCGACTCTAATTATTGAAATCGACTCTAAATGACATTTTTTTAA